AGGAACATTCATTATTTGGATTCATTGGGAGAGTTTATAAAATGTTAACTAGTAAATTATTTAAAAAAATTAACAGTTCAACAATGTAATTTGAACATGTCACAAACAGGGGAGCGATTTAAACTATTTTTATAATTTTTAAGATTGCGAGGAACAAGCATTAGTTAGCTAGAGACGAGTCAGTTACCTAGAACAATTTTTTTTTCATATAAGAGGCTGTGGGCCATTCTTGTTGTGTGTGATACTATGCAATTCTCCCGGTTGAACTAGGTGGAGCGGTGTTCGAACTGTGGACCCATAAATGATTGACTGACAGTTTCAGACTAGAACTTAGCACAAAAATGCAGCAATTCAAGTGGCCAAACTCGAAATAGCGCACAAAGGTGGAGAAGAGATAAACGGAAATTCGGAATAACAATAATGAGCAGAAATATACGGGCGATAGAATAGTGACATGGGAAAACATGAGGATCTAATCGATCTGTGAGATTACATTTATTCAGTGCATCTGCGCCACTGAGAAGGATTCAAAGCCACATCACCAATAATCTCCAATCACTGATTATTAATATCCTGGAGACTCCAACCAGGTAGTATACACCTTTCTACGCTGCTCGAACCAACAAATATTTCATGGATTTATGCTAGATTTTGACTGGACCACCTAAAATCTTTTTCCAACTTAATCCTATGTCAGCTAATATTGCCCGACGAAGAAGACTCGGCATGTGTGTCCCTGCCACCCCAGTTGACAGCTTCACTTAACCGAGTAGCTTACCCTTCATATATAACACTCTGCACCTAAGCTCAATATTGTTCACCATCAACTGAAAATTGAGTGGTTAAGCCGATGACACATACCTCCAAGAGCAAGAAGATATCATTAATCCGAAAATACACAGGAAAAGGAAGATATTCACTACTTCATTTTAGGTCAAGAATACAATGTATTTGGAATTCGACCATTTACAATCTCTAACTACCGGTTCACCATGCTTTTGATAACTACATACTACGAGGCGCTTGTCATGCTTCAACCTATGCAGGAAAATGTACAAAACTGTAGACTACTGATTGATTGAAATGAGTAGTTGTGTATCAAATCGTAATGCTTGCTAGCCGAATCGAGGTGATATAAACACCGGACGGCCGTTTTGCTTGATTGGAACCGAGCTCATTATCGGTGCACCTAGTATGACTCAATCGAGGGGATCGAATCAGTTCAGAACAATAAAGTTGACAGTTTTCAATGAACAAATATTACCAACAAGATTTAACTTGAAATGACATTTCGCACTCGTTACCACTTTCGGAGTTTTTCTCCTAAGCACCTTAACCTTCCTTTACACCCTTGTTCCAACCCACCCCCACTGTTCCATATGCATACATTCAATATGTATCTACTGTATACTTCTTAGTGACCTTCAAGTGAATGTGGGGTAATCCTGAAGAGATCTATTTCAAGCATCCCAGGCTGACTAAAACTGACTGAGATTTCAATGTAGAACTTTGCAATGCCTAAGTTCAAGTCGCCACTCTCTATTTAGCACATAAAGCTAGAGAGAGAAAACTCCAAGGAGCTACATAATAAGAGGAAATGTACGGAAGAAAGAATCAGTATACGGAGAATAATGAGAATTTGATAGATTTAGTTCAAACTGTGAATTCATCTGTACCATTAAGGATGATTTTGAGTCATGTCGCCTACAACTTTTACCCACTGATTCTTAGAATCTTGCGAACCTCAGCGAGACACTCCCTGAGTGAATCCAAACAATAATCAGAAACTTCATGAGTTAATACCTAGGACCACATGCCGAGATTTACCTCTCGATGCATGAGATATAGAGGATGTTATCAAAATTAATTGTTTCTCAAGTGTAAATGATATAAGCAGACAAACCACATCAATGCCTCCTTTCAAAATAGTAAAAGGCTGCCTAACAAACATGTAGTATAGAAAAGAAAGAATACAGTAAGTCATAAGCCAGTTCTGACTGATTTCCTACAGTAATTAGGTTTACTGCTAATGGCTGAGCAGAGGATGTTGGCAACAAGGATACTATATTGATTATTTTAGTAATCATGGAATAATTCAAATCTATGGAATTTGATAATTAATAAGAATTCAACGGAACGAATCCGTCTGAATAAAAATTATAGCAATAAATGGCCGTCATCTCAAATGTGTTTTCCTCTGAAATAGTAGACAAAGTGTAAGTCTATGATACTTATCCATTTAGTACAATGGGATTTAGTTACATGGTACAGATTTTGCAGAGCACTATGTAAAATTTTAATCGACAACCAATCGCAATTCCATTCATAGTTGACATTGAGCAACACCTATTACGTGAGGGCTAGTGATACTGCCTGGTCATCCAAACTTCGGTAGGTGTTGCAGGGTTAGAACCCGTATGCTGCTGGTTGGTTGGAAGTCGACAGCTACAGCTCCACAGCACTACAAGCTACATAATACGTGAAGACTGATTACACTACACAATTGTTAAGATCAAGGCAAGGTTACACTGGCAAAAATACTGACTGAAAGTCAAATCAATGAGCTATATATTGACAAACATAGAATATTATTCACTGAGGAATTATGATTTTTATGGAGTACTTAGTGACAGACAGGACTTCAGACAGCTCTTTCACTTACCTGACTGGGCGCCATTGTTCCAACTACAAGCGGTACAGACAAGGATGTCAAACCCAGTCAGGAAAAGCAAGACTTTCATTACTCTGACATCGGTGTGAAAAAGCTATCGCACTCAGCACAAGGGACCAGATTTCAACTCTCAACACCAATATAAAATCAATCAGTACTTCCATATAGTTTAGAGGCTTGGCCCGTCACTAAAAGTATTTCCAACAGGCTACTGAAGATATTTATCACCAGCTGCCTTCCCTGGTTCGGTACTAAAGATAATATGGCCAGATCGGATAAGGACCTAGAGACTCTGGCAAGCAGCAAAGCAACATAAATCTATTGCCCAAAAAATGTAGAGAATTTAAGTGGATGGATGGGACCTGCTCTCAGGAAAACTTCACGTGACACAAAACGCCAGACCCCCGAGTGGAACTCGAATAGAAAGAGGGCTGAGTGGCATGGAGTGAAGCCAGCTGCAAAATGCTACAGAAAAGAGTAAATTGGCTGGGTTTATGCATAACAATATGGGGGATACTTTAGTGCACAACCATATCGTGAATACCTAAACGTGGAGTTGAGAAGACTGATGAATAATGCAGGACTGAAAGACGTAAATCAGCTCATCCTCCTACATCTCAAGAAAGCACATATGAAGGTGTAGAATACAATTGACCAAAAGTAAGTGAAACAGAACTTTTAACGAAGAGTAGTAGTGTTCAAAACTTCCTTGATATAAAACGAATACACTTGAGAAGTTATGAGTGATTTCCAAGAGTCCTCAATCACATATTCTTAACATTCTGAGAATCCTAGCCAGCTAACTTACACTTCGCGACATGGCGTCAACCAATACGTGCGGGTTCGGTAACATCATTACAACATCTATACAACTTCCTAAATAAAAGTTGCTAATGCACTTAATTCCCTGTGCTTCGACTGGCAGACAGTCAAGAATAATTCTGTGATACAACCTTATACTTGACGAAGGTGAGGCATATACTTGTAATTTAGTTAATGCTACATTTTCCAATGTCTGCTATTCTTGGCAGTACAGTAAAATCGGACAGTCATATAGAACTGCAACCAACCACCGGTATAAGGCGTATAAGTCCGTCTGAGAATCCTAATGGCTGGATATGAATACAAAACAATTGATGTAGGACCTGGGCACTGTGGCAGTATATAACTCCATATTATATAAGTCTGTATTACAAAAGTGATGAAGTAATGATAATTTGATGCCGTTTCGATGGCAATTTACCTCTTATAATCCCATCAATGTATGCGCAGGCTTGATAAAATGATTGATGTAGCCCTACTTCCCGCTGATTTTTATTTAAATTTTTTATACATCCCGAATAAGTGTCACATCGTTTCAATTGCACTTGTTTTAAGATTTAATGAACGAAGATTTAGTGATCAACCTGTCTCTCTGCCTACGTTATCTTTGAGTAATTTTACTCTACCCTATCCTATTGTGTGATTATATGCGTGTGAGTGCACTGCAATGTTCCAGCTTATTTTTAAGATTAATTTATTACGGTCAACCACTCCAGATCTATCTCAATTCCTGTTTCAATCTACAATTCTGATCTATTCAATTGACCTCACAGTCATTAAGTGGTACTTGATAAATTGTATTATTTTCCCTAATTGGATCTACTAGATCCTTAAGAGGACAGTTCATCTACAGGTTGGTTGATGTGTGTAAAGAACCTACAGACATGTTCAAAATTCACACTGTGTCACTCGCATGTCTCCACAATGACCTAAGAGTAGGATTAAGCGTCCTAAGAACTGGCCTAACAGAACCCCCAGCAAATAAGTGAGGTAACTTAATACAACAAAAGAGTCGAATCGTCCTAATCAAAGCAAAAACTGAACTTGCAGAACGCAATTACCTCTAGGTTTTTCTTGAGCTAGAAAAACCCAGTCTTTCAAGCCTTAGGGAAATTGGTTAATCTGAAGAAACATTTATATACGGCGGCGTTAAATTGATGTCAGGTTACTGTGCATCTGCAACCGAAAAGCAAGCAAACTAAAGAACTATATCCGTTTACATTAAAAGATGGTTAGGTGGCACGCAATATTTTCACTTTTCTTATGGGAAATAAAATCATCGGATTAGCACTAACCTAACTGCATCTTAGAGGACCTATATACTGATTTTTTCGAGGATTCTGAAGACAATTAAGAGATCACACAAATGACCCACAAGGACATTAGCTGGATTATTAGTGAAATTGTAACTAGCATCCCATGAAGCCAATACAAACTTACAGTTTTCAACGGAAAAGTATAGGATATCCCAATAAGGCCAGTGACATCAGGAAAACATATAACTCACCTGGAGAGACATTACAACATAGCTATATCGATCATTCCTCCCACATCCAAGAAATTTGCACACATGTTCTTTTCCTTGTAGCTTGCGTAATACTGCAACCTCCATTTTTAATACTTGCTTCGGTTGCCGGGCAGATTCCAATTTTAAGGCGACCTTTTCTTGGGAATTGACCTCCTGCGCCTCGTATATTTCTCCGAATCCACCACCTCCTATCTTTTTCACAACGCGCCATCGGTCTTTGATTATATGTCCGGGTGATACTAAATCAGTGTCCGACGTGGCTGACGTCATCCCACATCGTTAGCAGCTGCTGAAATATGTAGTTGGTTATCCCCCGATTTCAAATTTTTTGAATAAATACAGGTATAAAGTGATGTTGATTTTCAAAAACGTCTGTTAAAATACCAAGATAACAGGCAAATGGAATAATTCTATAGGAAACGAATACACAAAATAAACGACCACTCAGTTGTCAAAGCTTCAAATGGTCGCGCTGTTAAAATGTATGCTGATATCACCTATTGAAACAAATCTGAAAACTGGGAATCAGGAGTAGAATATGCATTTCGACTTAGGAATAAGAGACCATCTGCCAAATACATCCTACTTCTCTGAAGATATGTTAATATTACAGGTCACCTAATAATATCCAATAACAATATAAGTAAAAAACTTGGGCACTGTGGTAGAGCATAACTTCATTATGGATAAGATTTTATTTTGATGAATCACACAGTGTTATACAGTAATACTGTATACAGTAATACTGTATAACACTGTATAATTTATCAAAATAAAATCGTATCCATAATGGAGTTATCCAATAACAATATTGTCATTGAGAAGAAATTGATATTTTGAACTCTCATGCCATAGTTACCACGATTAATGGCCCATATTCTTCCAGTTCTGACTGTCTGCCGCCAGCTAACCGGTTTCGAAAGGTGTCTAACTGTATATTGATGATTATATAAGTAAATATCTTACATGGAGTTCATTGAATATGGTGACATCTGTTCGCGACTGTACCCATAGTCTGAGAGGCATCCCCCAAAAGAATGGGACAGACTGCTCATAAGCCAAAGGAATATCAATAAATGGTCAGTAACGTCACTAATTCCATGTCTGAGGTTTTTAAAAAGTTCATAAATGTTGATAGGGGTTTCTGATAGACTCCTAAAAAAGTTGTCCCCATCTCCTACTAGTGCTAGTGTTTTCCTTACATTGTCGGCCTGGCAGATAAAAGCAAGGACACGTCTCTCGAGGCAGCAAATAAACATGCATCAGAGGGAAATAACAAGTTAAAACTTAGGACAAAATAAACCGAATCAATCTGCTGCGCTTCAGAGTAGCTGGAATATGAGCTTCAATCGGATCTTACCTCCAAAATTTGATGAGTGGCCAATGTTTCAAGTATTTCGTCACGACTACTCAAAGTGGGAACTTATTCAGACTTATTATCTTACGTTTCACAAGCACACTTAGATTTTCGACCAGGGTGTTCAGAAGACTCCACATTTCATTACAGACTCAGACGAAGGGCACAAAACAGCATCCGTACTCTACATCTATGGGGCATTTTATCTGTAACAAGCCAATGCCTGAGACAATATCATGATGTCCACCAGAGTACCTTCAATGAAATTAAATAAAAATCGTGACAGTGAGCACCTCTATCAACTACTACAATTCACCATGCTAAAGGACCTCTGTGGTAGAGCCAACTAATCCTGTTACTTTGCCTAACTTGAAATCACATGCAGATCATATAAATTTTGAAGCAGTTAGAGTGGTATCTGTTCTGGGTATGTCAGGAGCCTCGTACTGCTTCTGAATATCACTGGCCAAAATGATTATACGCTTCTTTCGATCCACCCCTATATAAAACGTCGAGTTGTTGTGTTAGATACTTGGTGCTTCGGTCAAGAAAAGCCTTTTCAACTAATTCAGTACTAGTGGCCACGCTAATGACGTACTCCATTTTAGGCATTGTCATGCTAAAACAGTCACGAGTCATAGTGGTTACTTCACACCAAATGACCAAGCACATATCCCGACGGTTACTGTTGAAAACCTCATCTCTGACCTAGCTTTCTAAGGCGGTAAACCTTAATGACCAATTCGACTACTTCATGAATGATTCGGGTTTTGTACAAGTTGCACTAAAATCATTTCCAACACCATTCTGTCACTTTAATGATGGAATAGCGACCTAGTCATTCCATTACATGAGTCTCCAGTCCAGCAGCAGAGGAAACCTGCACATTGGACAGTCGGTCATACCTATCACAACACTGGAAACCACAACAAGAATGGATCAAGGAAGAGAGCTAGGAGTTGTCGTCTCTGTAGTATTAACTCATGCCTTAGTAAGTGATTCACTGATTTTGCGACTTTTGAAAACGATAGCATTTCCTGTCCATTATCCAACAATGCAGTGTTCTCATCTAAATTCAACACGACTAGTGTATCAAATAAGAGAAATGAAAACTACGTGCTAAAGGCTCCTCGCCATCTCTTTCATCATACCTTTACTTCAACTTCAGCAACCTTGGAGGTTGACTCAGAAGTAATGCAGGCTGGTTAATTATCATGTAATCACCACCGCGTATGACGGGTATACAAATGCAAGCCCGTTTACAACTATCCGAAATAATCAGTTGTAGTGAACTATGTCTACCTTATTCTTCTGAAGTTTAGTCCTCGGGATCACTAAGTCTATGACTGAGTCAGGTCAGTATCATTGCCGCCAAACAGTACTTAGCATACCGTGATACGACATCATTTAGTTCAAGATGAATATTACTAATCAGATAATTTAATCCATGAGTGCAGTTTCAAACGACTCTAAGCTCGTCAGAATTCATCAGTAGTTTACAGGAGGTGAAGCGGCTCCAAATACTTTTAACGCAGACTACAACTAGTGGTGACTCAGAGACGTTACCATGTATGACCTCACTTGTGATCGTCCAAGGATGTACATGACCCACACAATTTCACCCCCGACTGCTGCTCACTTAGGTTGATATAATTCACACATCACTGTCTCAGGCTTCATTAACTAGGAGACGAAACGGTAGTATATATGTTCTGCTTTTATAGGATGGCAGCGGGCAACTTGTGTCCACTTACCCCTTGCTGAGTCTGACACATATTTTTACAAATACCCGGGGAAACCCAAAATGAACAACTGGCGCGTGTGCCAGTATCCAACCCACTAGCAGAACAGCGGCATAGCTGAGGCCTACCGCCAGACAAGCTTACTCTTGGCTATGGTAAAGCGGGTGAAGACAGAGAGGTGGTACTATACCCGTCAACCTGGCCTTTATCTTTTTCAGCAAGAGGACTCACAGGCTTCAGGACTGAAATCAATACGCAACAGTGGCTCACAGAATACCCGTGGGAGAAACCGAGAACATGCGGGGCTTCTACAGATTTGAGGTTACTGGTCAAGTGGAAATATATGGGTAGAAGGAATATCGTTGCGAAAGCTTACAGTTGCTCAAACAAGAAGTTCTATCATCTCTACGATGTTCACAAAAAGAGAAAACATTGGGATGCTAGGAACTCAGTAAGTTCCATGCTTCCCATAACATTGGTTGCAAGAATAATAACGAACAAAAAGAACATCTGAACGAGGAGTGACAGTCGTGTATGAACCACTTCTTGTATTTTAAAGCTTGTTATCTGTCGTAATTTTTAGTGTTGGATAAATACCACTGCTACCGAAACTTCAAAGCTCTAGCTTGGAGAGATAGTTTACAACATACCAAAACGGCCAGCACAAAACAAGAAAAATCCTACGTGTTATACCCAGAATGCAAAAGAAACGAGGGTACATGCTGTGAAACTACTTTCTGGTATTCTTTTATACACGTCCCTACAGGTTTGGTGATTTTCTCGACATTTTAGCTAACGCTTGTGCACTGTTTTCAATGTTGCTCCCGTCCACTTATATTTAAAAGAGGTTTCCCTTCAGACGAGCTTCAGATGGGATCTCGGGGGCATTCACCATGGCAGCGCCTTGAAAAGGTGTCGGTTTTAAGTGATATGAGTTACGCCTGTGCTCCACCTCGTTTGTTTCTTTAAAGTGTCAGCATGTCATCATTCCTAATGGCTCACCGCCTGATGATTCCAATGGCTGGGGGGCGACGTGCATTCAAAGATGCCAATAAAGGTTAATCAATTAAAGTACTGATGAATATCAGTAGGACAGTGGTAGATTTAACTGAATGTATTTTACCTGAACACTTACTTCTTCAGGACGTGCGGTCACCTTCAGTCATGAAACTACGCAATGAAAGGGATTTTCGTCTCAATGTTTAGACGTTCTGCACGTTGTTAAAGTGCACTTATCATCAGCTCTACTCTCATGGTGACTAAGCGCCATATTTATCTACGATTCTTGATATTTCGATTGTAGCAGGAACCACTCTGCATGCTATTTGACTGTTGGACTGCCTTCTTGAAGTGCACCAGACCTAGATGCTTTATTTAAGCCAAAAAATAATTCGCTTAGAATACTTGCCTTTATTCGGTTTGTACAGAAGTATGGTATCCAAAACTAGAAATTGTTCGTGAAACGAAAATGTGTACAATCATTTCAGAAGATATATCCTTGATAGGTACTGATCCAAATCACTGAATGAAAGGACCAACACGAATAAACGTGTGTTTCCACGCCATTATGGCGGCAATCCAAATCATTAGTATGTGAGTATGGCACAGAACCTAAGGGCCTTCCACGTGTTTGATAACCTTGAATTTTGAGTAAGATGTGCAAGATTTAGACCATGATCTAACCCATTTGATCCTTATCTACGAAAATGCTCTTACAGCAGGCAAAATGGTAGTCTGAGTGCTTGAAAAGCATAAGGCGTGTAACTTATCCAAGAACAACATGGATAACGTTTAAGCGAAAAAGAATTTAAACTTTTAGAAACCGATGATTCCATCAAAACACCTACCCAAATCATCGACTGGCAGCTTGTAATATTTTAGAGGACAAGTGGTGTTTTAAACCTTTATTTTCAAACGCACGGCATAGTGGAAGTGAACCTGAAAACTCTGTCGAACATATGGAAAGAACGCTTATCATTCAGTAGATGGAATCCTTAACCACCCACTACATCTGAGTATCTATTGCAAACTGTGTTGTAGAAGCCCTACATAAGCCTAACTCTAGAAGCAACTCCTATAAAAGTATCGGCTCGATTAGCCGATCTTCCGAAGCTGTCTAGGGTTCACCATAGAGTGCCCTTGTTTTCTATTGGTGAGTTTGGACTTGGCCCCAGCAAAGGCTATGATGCCAGTCACCAAGCCGTCAGTTTAAATCTCTCCCGCATGAGGAAACGAAGTATATGTAGTAAAACTACATGGAACAGGTTGAGGCTGTTTACCTAGCATTTTACGAATAAGTGTAATTTTGTCATAGGTCAGATTATTCAGTCGCTAGTCTTTCCTACTGAAGTCGCAAAACCAGATTGTTATCGGTGGCT